GGCTGGGGTCTGCATGGCTTTGACCTTCCGTTGGTGGCTGGCTCCCCTCTCGGGGGTGCGCCGAGCCAAGAGGACCCATAGGGATGTGGTGGGCTTCCGGTGAGGCAGCCTTCCTGTGGGATTGCTGCCCCCCGTGCTTCCCTGTTACCTGATCAGCTTTCTCTTTCCTCCAGTCGGTGCAGGGGCTACAGGCTTCCTCTCAGTCAGTGCAATACCCAGCGGTCTCTCTTCCTCCCCAGCATCTCCTGCCTGTGTCTCCAACGCAGCAGTTCCCCATGGTACTGTATGGCATGCTTGTGACCTTGTCCCCGGGAGCGCATGTTGGCTGGTTTTACTCCTGTCCTGTGCGGGGCTGGCTGACGCTGGGTGGGTGCCCCGGGCTGACCGTGAGGGGGGCATACGTGAGTGTCTCATTCCAGAACACTGCAGCCCGTCTCCAAAATAACGGTTTCCCTTCTGTCATCGGTCCCGTGGTTGGTTGCTGCTTCCGCGATCGGGTACCCTGCCGAGACTTTACCTACCAGCTGAGCAGGAATGCAATGCCCTTAGAGTTGGAAGTCAGCAACAGACAGACCCATGAACTTGGCGCGAGGGTTTGGGAAACTGCTTAAAGTCAGTTGACGTGGTCACCAGCGTCACCCTGTGCTCCTGATGTGGGGGTTTCCCTAGCTCCCCAATCCCCCATTCTCCCTTCCTTTCCCATCAGTGGACTAGGTCCTTTTGGACAAGAGGAAATGAGCATGTCCCCTAAATTTCAAGCGAGGCAGGTGAACGATACTCCCCAGTATGCAAAGGAAATCCCACCCGTGCTGGCTGGCTGCTTCTCTGCAGTAGCCATGTGTGATGGGGACTACAAGGTCCTTCTGTCTCTCTCCAGAAGGCAGAGGCTGTGATGACTCCCAGGGAGACCAGCTGACCCCTCAGGACAAGCCCTCCTTGTCTCAGCACTACCCTGAGGAGCCTGAGCCCTCGGTGAAAAGATAATGATTTGTTTCCATTGAAAGGGGGAGATTTGGTCAAATTGTTTACCGTCTCCCATCCACCAGATGATTAAAATCTGCTCCCCCTTGCTATGTCCTCTTGTTGTTCTGGACAGAGAATTCCTTTCTGGTAGCGTTTCCAATTTGTACACCCTGCCTCTCTCCCGCAGCGACAAGCATGTGGCCCGTGTCTGCCTCTGTGTGCCTCTCCCCTTACTAAGCTGATCTTGCTAATTTCCTGTTTTGCTTCCGCGCAGAGAGACGATGTGGCGACACAGTTCACCCAGATGAACCTGAGCCGGCAGTCCTCAGGAGAGACTCCTGAGCCCCCGTCTGGTCCTGTCTACCCAGCGTCCCTCATGCCACAGCCAGCCCAACAGCCAAGCTACGTCATTGCCTCCACAGGCCAGCAGCTCCCTGCTGGGGGGTTCTCGGGCTCTGGACCTTCCATCTCCCAGCAGGTCCTCCAGGCTCCTCCCTCACCACAGGGATTTGTGCAACAGCCTCCACCTGCACAGGTCAGTGTGTGTTCATCTACTCTCACACCTGCGACCTACAGTCGATTCGTTGGGTATGTTGATCTCTGTCTTTCCGTGTAGAATTTCCCCAGGCCAGCCTGTCTTGCTCTTTCTGGTCCGTACTGAGATTCCCCACCTGCAGAAGCCGGTCTGTCCTGTTCGGCAGCTGGGCAAAGCCTTGGGGCAGAAAGTGAGTTTGACGAAACTGACCCAACCGCCCCCGTGATGCACTGGGGGCGTGTCCCATTTTCCAGGCTTCTGGTACAGGAGCCACAGGAAAGCATTCCCTGCCCTGCAACGTCCTTCCTGGTCACCGGATTGCCCAGAAAGGGAAAAAAAGGCAGGCAAAAGAGAGCCTACTCCTGGGGGACTTTCCACTCTCCCCTTCTGCTGCTCTGGAAATGTGTTCTTTCCTCAAGCATTCTCTGGAGCTAATCTGGTGCTCCAGGCAGGAGCCCCTCTATGAATATAAAGGAGGAAGATGAAGCGGGGTCCACTGTCCTTTCCTTTCCCTGGGGGCGGGGGGGGGGAGCCAGGCTCCTGTGTGCTCTCACAGGTAGTCATTAATCATATTTAATTGACTCGAGCGTGTAAGACACCACAGATCACTGATTTTTACTGTCTTCCCCAAGACTGATTATCTGTTACTGCTCACCACCAAACATCTCTGGTGCTCTCCCGGGGATCCCTTTGCAGAATATTGCAAGTGATTACTGTCAAGATGTAAAATGCACAGAGGCGTTTTCTGGTCCATTTTCAAGGCACACGTATCCCAAGCAAATTCCATCCTAATTAAGAAATATTGCATTGGATGAGCTGTTTAAAGTACGCTGTCACCTTCGTATTATTTGTTGCGCTGCCTTAACATCTTGAGTAAATTATTTTCTTTTCGAGCCGTGCGAAACCCTTCACCATGAAACGGTCTTCATTCAGTTGTTCATTTTATTTGGAATGATTAATTAATAGTTCGTCTTCAGTTGCCTTCTCTGAAATACTCTTCACCAGTAGGACTTGAGGGGCTGTGAAAAAATAATTTTAAGCTACAGGAGGAAGGGCCTCATTCATATATTAATTATTTTAGCAATAAATTAAATACTTTACATTTAATTAATGGGAAAAATAGTGTAGCTCTTTTATCCTAAGTAGCATCTAAGTGTCCTTACCCATTTCTGCTATCAAGGAGAAGAGCTGGCAGAATGTTTAATTGAAGACTTTTTTTTAAGATGGGACAAAAAAAAAAAATCTTCCTTGATGAATGAATTTCAGCATTCGTGCTCTGCAGGAGCAAAGACAACCCAGAACCCCTAGTGTGTCTGCAACAGAAACACTTTCATCCTTTCTTTAGAAGATTTGGGAATAGAAATGGGCGGGAGAGAGGGGGAAGACATTTTTAAATATGGCTGCTTTTTTTTTTTTTTTCTCATTTCTTTCTTTCCTCTCCTAATCCGCTGATATTTTTGGTTCTCCGTGATTTCACACAGTTGTCTGAAAATATATTTTCTCCTTTGGGGGGGCTGTCCTTACCTTTTCCTCCCTTCCAACCTTCCATCTGGATCCTCTGGTGATTCCTCTCAGCCCCGCTCTGCTTCCTTCTTCCATGAGAGAGGCTTAGGATGAGCCAAGTGCCCATGTCCCGTGGGTGTGACATGATAGGGAGCTAAAACTCCTAAGAGCTGGCCAGTGCCCTGCCTGGGAGAGGTACTGGATGGAGGTGACCAGATCTCTAGCACAGCCCTTCAGGGTATCAGAGAAGATAGGATGAGAGAAGAAGAAGAAGGAGAAAGGAGAAAGAAGGAGAAGAAGGAAACAGAACAACTTAGCACTAAAACTTGAGGCTTGCCTTCAAGAGGTTACACTTTCATCCAAACCATTAGGGTGCAGCAGGAAATTGTCAAGTGTTTGAACTCTGTCCCTCATCCCTGAAGGTATTTTCATGTTTCATATTGAATGTGAGAGAAGAGACCAAGGACTGGGTAATATATTTATGAGCTCAAATTGAATCAAATCAGAGTTTCCTAAAGGAACAAACTGTTATTCTTCCTAAAGGACCTATAAATAAATATAAGACTCGTAATATGGAATAAATTCCATAATGGCTGTTCTTATTCTTAATATTAGGAGGCATCTGATATACAGTGGTGGTAATCTTTAAGAGCACCATGATGTACCAGAGCATAACTAAAACCTGTTATTACTCTAGGATTGTTTGGAATGTTATTGTTATAAATTGCCTCACAAAGAAAGGGAGAAGTAGGGAGAAAACAATGACTATACACAAAATGTACAATCAGTTAGTTGCCGCATAGTGACCCGTGTTCACTGGAAACTCGTTCGGTCCCTTACCCTTGGATATCCATAGAGCCAGTCCGAATGAGAATTCCTAACAATGCCACCAGATTGTAGAACCACGGCACAACGTGAACGGAGTTATCTTTTGTTCCTACTTTATGCTAAGGCAAGGAAACATGATATATGTGTTTCAGGAGCAAGATTGAAGTAAAAAAGCGTTTCCTCTTTGACTTGAACACATCAGAAAATGACATATCCGTTAAAAATCACAGCTCTCGGGGCGCCTGGGTGGCTCAGTCGGTTAAGCGTCCGACTTCATCTCAGGTCGTGATCTCACGGTCCGTGAGTTCGAGCCCCGCGTCGGGCTCCGTGCTGACAGCTCAGAGCCTGGAGCCTGTTTCCGATTCTGTGTCTCCCTCTCTCTCTGACCCTCCCCCATTCATGCTCTATCTCTCTCTGTCTCAAAAATAAATAAACATTAAAAAAAATTTTTTTTTTAAAAATCACAGCTCTCAAACAGGTGGCTTGTAAGTTTACTCTGTGCACGTGACACTTGAAGGCCGTGTCCTGGCGTGCCTCTCTTTACACTGTAAAGAAGCTGATAGAAGAATGTTCAGAAGCCTGGAGATGAAAAAAAAAATATTTCGGGTTCGTGAGAAAACAGCCTTAATATAAATGACCTGAGGCAAGCAAGGAAGCCTTTCCAAATCAAGAGACATTTGATTGGAAGCTTATTGGAAATCATTAGAACATTTTCAGCCATTCCTAGTCATTAGGAAGGGATGGTAGGTGACATAACAGTATTTGAAACATGGTTCCTGTTTTCAGATAGAACAGAAATTCGTGTGGATGCTGGCTTCGTGCCGATCACTCTGCTTTGATAGACTTGACCGTATTTTGCCACACCATCCACTGCTTCTTTCGGGCTGGAGACGAGCAGTTTTCATGTCTCGCCTGTGTTTCCATTGGAAAAAATAACCCAAGTTAGATATAGTATTTTTTGAAGTTTTATTTATTTGTTCATTCATTCATTCATTTTGGGAGAGAGAGTGAGCATGAGCAGGGGAGGGGGAGAGAGAGAGAGAATCCCAAGCCAGGCTGTGCACCGTCCGTGCAGATCACGACCTGAGCCGCAGTCAGGAGTCGGGAGCTTAAGCGACTGAGCCACCCAGGCACCCCTCAAGTTAGATCATTTAATATTTCAAACTACCACGAACTTGCTGTTGTCGTGGATGACTGTTTCGTTCACTCTTCTTTTCAGTTTGAAAACACAAAATGCAGTGTTTTGAGACAATATCCACCGTGTTGCCCAGGACTAGGTCAGCAATTACAGCAGAACTCAGCAGGGACGGCTCAGCTCTGCGGCCTCTGGGGGCGGCTTGGCCGAGGCTGGAACATCCAAGATGGCCTCGCTCACTTCCTCAGAACATTGGTGCCGCCGGGCCGCCGGGGCACCTCGCTTCTCCTCATGGCCTCTTTCTCCAGCAGAATAGCCTGGACTTCCTTTCCTGGTGGCTGGATGCCCCTCCCGTGTGAGCAGAAGCTTCCAGTCTTCTCAGGCATCAGGAGTCGCCATTTGTGCCTCACGGCGTTGGTCAAAGCGCCTCACACAGCCAGCCCAGACGCGGGCTTGGGGACTTAGATGTCCCATCTTCGCGAGAAGAGTAGCGGGCACCTCGCATGCAGCCCAGGGGGAAGTGTTTGGTGGCCATCTGCACAATCGACTGTGAGCAGGCCGTGTCCTAGGGTGACCGTAGATTTTACGTCAAGAAGGGTTACTTTCTGTACAGTTCTCGTCCACTGCGGCCTTTCTCTACGGACGGTTCTCATCCCCGGTGGTTTTGCTCTTTCTTCCGCAGATGCCCGTCTATTATTACCCATCCGGTCAGTACCCTACCTCAGCCACACAGCAGTACCGGCCCCTGGCCTCCGTTCAGTACGGTGCTCAGAGGGGTCAGCAGATACCGCAGGCCGCGCAGCAAGCAGGTACGTGGCCTTTCGTTTCCCGCCTCCCCCCCAACCTAGCGATGCCTGCCCGCAAATCTCTCGCCGTCCTCTTCGGACGAGTGTCCACGCTTGGCGGTTTCAATCCCCTCGTTTCCCTCACCCAGAGAAGATAACGGGGCGTCGGAGGAACTCTGGGAAAGTCACGGGCACGAGAAGGTGAAGCCCACGTCACGCCGTTGCCCCAGACGTGCATGCTGAGTGCCGTCTCCACAAGTTCTTTGTGGACCTTCTTGGTTTCTTTCAAAGCAAGAGTGCCAACCGCGTCCTTAGCTTCCTAGTTCGTGCCTTTCCTTGCTTGCTTGCTTTTTTTTTTTTTGGTCCTTTTCGACTCGAAGACAATCCTTCCGCTGTTCCTAGGGCCAGGGGGACGACATTAGCTTGTTTCTCTACCTTCCTCCAAAGTACCGTCTGTAGAAGGTGGCCCCGGACGTCGCAGCCCGTGTCACCCGATGGAGGCGACTCCGTGCGTGGCTCGCTTTCTCGAGGGCCACCTGCCTCCCGCCCAGAGCTCGGCAGCCGCTGTGCAGTGGGAAGGGGGGCCGATACACTGTACGAGAGTGAGTAGCAGGTCTCACAGTGAACCGGTCTCTTTCCCTACTGTGTCACACTCCTGATGGCGTGCCGGTGCCCAGACAGCAGCAGGAACCCAGCAGGGCTGAGTGGCTCCTACTGGGGACGGGCTGGGGTCCTTCCTGCTGGCCGCTCTGCAGGGGACACCGCTCATTGCCACGCCGAAGACCACCTGCGCGGGGGACTCCGCCTGCCGTAAGTAGGTCGTGCCAGGGCGCGGGCTCCCGCTGCCGCTCCTGATCGGCTGTCCCGCCACGCGACATCTGTGCTCGGTAGAAGGCTGTGCACATGTGATATGTACATATGCGTGCGTGTGGTATGTGCGGGACGTGGACGGTTTTTATAAGCTGGCGGAAAGCAACGCCCTTGCCAAGGATTAACGCCAAGAACGGGCACGCTGAGACTATGAACGCGGACATGACGAGCGTCTTGTCAGATTGGAGAAGAATTCAGTCCCTCTGTATTGGAGCGAGCGATACGTTCTCTGATTTGTCTCGTGGCCTATTTTAACGTCCGTGGGAGAAGAGTTAGGGAGACGTATGGCAGCCGGCCAGACTTCTTCTCGTTTCAACACTGTATTCGTCTAGGGGAAAAAATCTACATTGACCTCTGAACTGGCTTTACGTTTTTCCTTTTTTTTTTTTTTTTTTTAATGTTTATTTATTTTTGAAAGAGAGGGGAGGAGAGAGAGAGAGAAAGAGAGAGCACGAGCAGGGGAGGGGCAGGGAGTGAGGGGAACAGAGGATCCGAAGCAGGTTCTGTGCCGACAGCAGAGAGCCTGATGTGGGGCTCGAGCTCGTGAACCGTGAGATCATGACCCGAGCCCAAGTCGGACGCTTAACCAAATAAGCCACCCAGGCGCCCCTACGTTTTTCTAATAATAACACAAAAATGTTTACAATGATTAGTTTTTTTGTTTTTTGTTGTTTTCAAGCGTTTGGTAATGTTTCCTCTGAAGTGGGAAAATGTTCTAGCTGTATCACTTGGTGGTAACTATGCCATCAATGTGGATATATACTTTAGTAACGTGTTGCTTGCCTTCCTTCTGCTAATGTTTGTCAGAAAGTTAAGCTGTGATCTCCTAGCTGCTGGTCCATGGGTCCCAGTGAAGTTTTCCTTTTGGCTGCCAATCCCTGTAGGAGAGACATCGACGTCCATTGATAATGATTGGCTAAATTTTAGTTTACTGCTATCATTTGACAGTTTTCTGAGAAGGTGTGTGAGTCTTGCATTAGAGTATGTAGCTCCTACACAGGAATGCGGTTACAGACATGCTAGAACCTACCAAGCCGGAAAACCCCAGGTTTGGGTGAGGGGCTGAGAGAGTTGGATGAATGAATGTGTTCATCCGAAAGCAGATTGAATCAACCCAAGTAGATTTAAGACCAGCCTTGGGCTTCCCCTGACTCTCCCCCACGAACTTTATTGGTGAGCATCAACACCAACGAGAACGCTGTGACATTTTTTGTCTTTTTAAAAACACTGCAGGAGGATTTAGGGGTGCAAAACCTCCCCCCTCCCCCGCCCACCATCTCAGAGAGACCTGACTGGCCCCAACTACATCCCGTGGCAGCCTGGTGACATTGACTTGTCCCGTGCCCCCACATTACCGTGGGGATGCCACCCCCCCCAAGGTGAGGTCATGGCACCGTAATTAGAGGGGTGCGTTTCAAAGGGGTATCCTGCTCCCAATAGAAGTGAGTGCTTTGGGCGGCAAAGAAGTGAGTGGAGCTAAGGTGGCCTGTGGGAACTGGGGAGATGAGAAAAGGGAGGTGATGCTGCGGGAACAAAATCCTCCCCGAAGCGACACCATCGACATACACACGTGGACTGAGACGTTTACGCTCCTAGCTTTTGAGACCACCACACCCGATATCAGCCTAAAATCTCAATGCAGTTTCCACCGCGGTGTTGAATTTACTGAGGGTCTGGGAGGGCGGACGGTGTCCCCTGACCTCACTGAGATTCGCCTCTTCTAACAAAATTCCAGCTCATGCAGTGGCCTAAGCCATTAGGCCAGTCACGTGACAGCACGTGATTACAGCTACATGGCCTTTTGCTGAGCTGAGTGACACCAACAGAGACTTCCCAAAGGGCCCTGGAGGTTACTTGGGGGAAGCGACTCCGTGTGGATGGAATATCTCATGGAGGAAAGAGCCTCTCTGGATAACTGCCAAAGCTGTATTTCCTGGAGGAGCTTGGAGAGAGGGCCCCTCTCTCTGTAAATCGACCTCGGGACCAGGTTTGGGCTAGCACCATCCCGCAGGGATGCCCTGACTAGCTCTCCCTCCCGCCTCCTGCAGTCTTGCCTCCTGGATCTGACCCTCTCCCACCTTCTTAGGGTACTGACTGGATTACGTCCCAGTAAAGGCAGCATCCCATGGTGGGGCATTAGCGTAGAGCCGATTTATGTCAGTTATAACCAAATGAGATTTAAAAAAATTTTTTTAATGTTTTTATTTATTTTTGAGACAGAGAGAGACAGAGCATGAGCAGGGGAGGGGCAGAGAGAGGGGGAGACACAGAATCCGAAGCGGGCTCCCAGGCTCCGAGCTGTCAGCTCAGAGCCCGACGCGGGGCTCGAACTCACGGAGTGTGAGATCATGACCTGAGCTGAAGTCCCATGCTTAACCGACTGAGCCACTCAGGTGCCCCTAACCAAATGAGATTTTAATCCTGATTTGCTTCGGGGCAGTGTTCTTCATCTTTATTTAATCCTAGTGAGAAGTGTCTCTTCCTTGTCCTACATTCTTGGCTAAATTGAAATCTCTGTAAGTCAGTCAAGTCACCACATCTTTCGTAGGCCTTAAAACTACACACAGTGAATTTTTATAAAGTAAATTGGATATTCTGCAATTAAGTAGGACATTTGAGTTACCCTGAGGCCCAATAGGGGGACATAAATTCCTCCTGGTGATTTTGTTCTCTTTTCCCTACCAGTGTCTGATAGAGATGCTAAGCATCTAGAAGAAGGAGCCTATGCTGGTTAAGTGTTACAAACAAAGGGCATCAAAGTCAGAAATTTTGGAGAAATTGCATGGTAGATTGAAACAGTGACATCTGAATTTGGTAGCTACGTATACAAGGGAAACCAAAACCTTAATATAGAAGTGTCCCTGGGGTGCCTGGGTGGCTCAGTGGGTTAGGCGTCCGACTTCGGCTCAGGTCGTGGTCTCGCGGTTTGTGAGTTCGAACCCCGCATCGGGCTCTGTGCTGACAGCTCAGAGCCTGGAGCCCGCTTCGGATTCTGTGTCTCCCTCTCTCTCTGCCCTTCCTGCTCGCACTCCGTCTCTGTATCTCTCAAAAAAAAAAAAAAAACGTTAATTTTTTTTTTTTTTTTAAAAGAAGTGTCCCTAGTGGAAAAATAAAAAGTCTACTGTCAACTTAACATTATCAGGTACCCCCAACAGTGAAGGCAGATAATTTTCTTTATGAGGCTCTTGTTGATGACCCGAAGCCATGTAGAAAGGCTGTTATCAGGTTAGAGCTAAAAAGACTGTGGTTTTCAAATCCTTCCGGCTTTGAAAGACTTGAAAGTGAGGGCATCCATCCTACCTGAGAACAGATTCCCCCCCCCCCCGGGGGGGTAAGGGGGGGAATACTGAGATGAAATGCTGAGGCATAAGCCTTACATTTCTTCATGCTTTAGGTTTACGTAGTCGTCAGTTACCGTATCGCTTTGAGTTAATCCCTGTGTCGCCATGGTTTTATTCTGATTCAAACACATTTTTAAGGCCACAAAAAACGTTAGTAGTAATCCCAGTTACCATCAGTTAGGCCTCTAATGGGCTCGTTGCTGTGCTCAGTTATTTACAAACATGGCATTCTTTCATACCCACCACAAATTTACGAGGGGAGTACGAGCTGTTAGAAATACACTGTATAGAAATACACTACTTGAGTCCCAAGGCTGATCAGATCGAGGAGAGCGCCCAGGCTTGGCCGGTTCTAAGGCTGCACATTAACCACTCTCCCAAAAGCACATAAACATAGCTTGCTAGTTTTGCCTTTATTTACTGTCATGGATGATGATACAAGAAACAAGCATCCTGGAACTGAACCAGCAGGGCTGTGTTAGAGGCAGACATTTAACTGTCCAAGTGCACGGGCTGGCTGATATCAGCACACATGGGGACCTCTGGGTGTTGGCCTCCTGACCCACCATGGGCTTTCCTATTCCTTTGCAGAGCTGGTCACTAATACCAAGTGACAGAGCACGGCTGAGATTTATGTGTGGATCACACATTGGAAAGAGAGAGAGGGGAAAAAAAAAATTCATCTTGGATCTTGTATCCTGATTTGGGTATCAGAAGAATAGTGGCCTCATAAAATGAATTGGGGAGCAACCCTCCTCTTCTGTGTTTTGTTTTGTTTTGTTTTTTGGAAAGATTTCTGTAAAAATGGGGCTGAATCTTCCCTAAATGTCCGATAGAACCCTCCAGTGACACTGGCTGGGACTGGGGATTTTCAGAAGCACTATATATATATATATATATATATATATTTTTTTTTTTTACTTTTTATGTGAATGTGATTCCTAGAGCCTTTTAATTATGAAATTTTTCTGATTATCAGAGTATTCAGACGATTTGTCTCCTCTTTGCTGACTTTTGGTCTTTTGTGCTCATCGAGGAACTGGCTGATTTCTAATAACTTGTTGGATTTATGAGTGAAAAGTGCTCAGTGGCATTTCTTTATTATCCTCCGACTGGCCGCAGAACATGTTGGGATATCCTGTTTTCTTCTTGATATTGGTGATCTTCAAATTCTCTCTTATTTTTATAAGTCTGGCCGGATGTATCAATTCTGTTGACCTTTTCAAAGAACTACCACTTTGTGGTATTGATTTTCTCTATTGTTTTATTGTTTCGATTTCATTGATTGCTGGGTTGTTGTTGTTGTTGTTGTTTTTTATTTTCTTCCTTCTGTGCATTTTAGCTCTATTTTGCTCTACTTTATGTAGTTTCTTGAGGTAGGAAGTGAGATTGTTGATTTCAGACTTTTCCCCTTTCTCATGTAAGCATTTAGTGCTACGGGTGTCCTCTGTAGCCCTGATTTAGCAGAGTACCACGTACTTTTATGTGCTTTATTTGCATTTTCATTCATTGTATGTGTTTTTTCTTCTTTGAGATTTCCTCCTTGATCTGTGGATTATCTAGAAGGGTTTTAATACCCAGGTGTCTGGAGGTTGTCCTGTTGTATTTCTGTTACTGGCTCTAGACTGATTCCATTACGGTCAAAAAACATACTCTGTATGATTTCAATTCTTATTAGATTGTTCACGTCGGGTTTACGGACCAGGATACGGTCTAACTTGCTAAATGCTCCACACACTCTTGAAAAAGCTGGGCATTCTGCTGATGTTTGGTGCAGTGTCCAGACGTGGCAGTTACATCCTGTTAGTTTATTTCATTGTTCCGATCTTCTATATTTCTGCTGGTTTTCGGCTTACTAGTTCTCTCGGTTGCTGAGAGGCCACAGTCATGACTCCAACTCTTAAGAAGTTCCTACAGTCCTGACATGAATCTCAGGGCAAAGGTTTCCCTGAGGTCCGAGCATGCAGGGGAGACTTTGAAAGTTATTTAAAGCATGTTTACGGGGCACCTGGGCGGCTCAGTCAGTTGGGCGTCCGACTTCGGCTCAGGTCATGATCTCATGGGTCATGAGTTCGAGCCCCGCGTCGGGCTCTGTGCTGACAGCTCGGAGCCTAGAGCCTGCTTCG